CGTGATCTCAGCTCACTGCAACCTCCACCTCCTGGGTTCAAGTGATTCTCTTGCCTCAGCCTCCCGAGTAGTTGGGATTACAGGCACATGCCACCACACCCGGCTAATTTTGTATTTTTAGTAGAGATGGGGTTTCTCCGTGTTGGACTGGTCTCAAACTCCCAACCTCAAGTGATCCACCCGCCTCAGCCTCCCAAAGTGCTGGGACTACAGGCATAAGCCACCACACCCGGCCCTAGTTACATCTTTAACTGTTAAACCAAACAGAATGTGCTCACTTCTTTCATTCTGGATTGTTCTCCGAGAACCTGGGTGCAGAAAGGTCTGCCTGAATGATCTACATGGCTCATAACCCAGCTTTGATGATGATGAGGGTAGTGGGGCTGATGGAAGGGGAGTAGCACAAAGGAACAGAAAGACCACAGCTCTTGGAGTATGAAGGCCTGCTTTCCAACCATCTCTCCTACTTCACCTCTGTGAGCCTCAGTTGCACAATTTGCAAAATGAGGATAATGCCACCTGTATTTCCTTCAGTGGGCAGCTGCCAGGATCAAATGAGCTAATGAATGTGAAAACACTCTGAATATAAATGTAAAGTATTATTATTACTGGTGGTTGTACAAGGGAGAGATTAAAGTCTTCTCAGATGGAATCTCTAAACTTCCCTACATATTGGGGTCTAATTGGAAAGTACCTGTTTCCAAAAAGAGAGCCAGTTAATACATTGTTCCATGTCTTCCCTGCCTTAGACACCTGATTTTTCCTGATTGCCCCATCCTATTGACTTCCTTTAAGAAAATTAAAAGTATCCTATTGATTAAAAGCAAAAAATTAAGTATGTATCCTGTTTTTCCTATACAGATTGACTTTTAGGGTAACCAAATAGTCCTGAGATGATGAGGGAATGTTCTTTAGGATTTCAGCTAGTAAATATGGAAGAAATGACAGAACTAGAAAATAGTCATTTTACACCCTTGATAAAATAATAAGTTCTGATGTAGACCAACAATGAATGAAGGCATTAGATGAAAAGTTAATGGGAAATTTTATGGCGTGTAAATCAGGTTGGTTTCACCTAAACTCCCAGATTTAGCATCACTAAAATTGAAACAAGCATTGTATTCTTTCTATAAGATGTGATATAGAACACATATCTTACATATGTTAAATATCACATTTTTATATATATATATATATTACAGTATATAAGGGGTAAAAGGATCTGAGGGAGGGGGAAAAAAACCCACCAACACTAATGAAGACTTCTTGTCAAAAACGGTTTGTTTTTGTTTTTGTTTTTTTGAGACAGAGTCTCACTCTTTCACTCAGGCTGGAGTGCGGCGGCACGATCTCAGCTCACAGTAACCTCTGCCTCCTAAGTTCAAGCGATTCTCCTGCCTCAGCCTTCTGAGTAGCTGGGATTACAGGCATGCACCACCGCGCCCAGCTAATTTTTTGTATTTTTTTGTAGAGACAGGATTTCACCGTGTCAGCCAGGCTGGTCTCAAACTCCTGGCCCCAGGTGATTTGCCCGCCTTGGCCTCCCAAAGTGCTGGGATTACAGGCGTGAGCCACAGCGCCCATCCAGGTTTTCCTGTTTGTTTCTGGAGACACAGTCTCACTTTGTCACCCGGGATGGAGTGCAGTGGCACAATCTTGGCTGACTTGCCTCCTTGACCTCCCAGATTCAAGCAATCCTCCTTCCTCAGCCCTCCAAGTAGCTGAGACTATGGACACATGCCACCATGCCTGACTAGTATTTGTATTTTTTGTAGAGATGGGGTTTCGCCATGTTGCTTATCAAAAATGTTGAACCCAAATCTAATTAAGCCAACATTCATTTATAGGAAATACAGGGTACAGAGGAACAAGTTGAATGACATAAGAAAGCAAGTAGACAATCATCTCTAAAAAACAAAAGGAAAGAAAGAAAAGAAATAGAGACAAAATGTAGGATATTCTTTAGGAAAAATGACCCGGTTTTCTTCAGCAAGTCAATAATACAATGAACTGAAAAAAGGAGATGGGCTGCTCTGGATTAAAGAAGACATACAAGCAGATATAATTAGTGAACTTTTCAGATCATTATTTGAATAAGATAACTGTAAAAACAGATTTCTTTTTTTTTTTTTTTTTTTGAGACGGAGTCTCGCGCTGTGTCACCCAGGCTGGAGTGCAGTGGCCTGATCTCGGCTCACTGCAAGCTCCGCCTCC